CGGATCGGAAGTCCAAAAACAATATCGGTATCGGATCGGAAGTGCAAAAACCTGGATTGGGACATCTCTACTAATGACCATAATTGCTGATAGATCATCCAAACTACGTTTCCATTTTCTTCTCCAAGACTGCTGATTCTGTTACTTAAATTAAATGATACATAAAATAATGTTTAACATTTCATACTCAAGAAGATGTACTGGGAAAAAGTGACCAGATTTAATTTAAAATGCTAAGTTCAAAATATACATGTATAAACTGAAATTATTTTTATTTTAAAGTTATTAAAGAAATTGATAATACAACATCCAAGCTGCCTTTTCTCTTATTGCTTATTGTTTGACAGCGCTAAAAAGAAAGCAAAGAGGAAATTACTTTTTTTGTTGAAAAAAAGAAATTTAAAAGAGTTCAATAAATAATTCAAATTACAATTTCAAAATTACATCTTAAATTCTTTATGTTCTTCCCTAAATATCACTTTTTGTTTGTTTTAGCAACTTTTACTAAAAGTAGGGAGAAGTAATCACTTCTCATAGGGAGAAGTGATTACACAACAATGGTAACAGCTGGTTTTCTCTGGTTGGTGGTGTTTCCATCTTTGAACTATAGACACGTGGCTGTTTGTGTTTTGGTCAAGAAAAGAAACTCCTTTTTATAGAGAACTTTTCACTCTTCACAGAAACTCCTGAGAAATGAAGCAGCTGGGATGATAGTGGCTTAGTGGAAAAGATGTGAAGATTTCCTGAAAAACTTCACATGTCTTTTCTCCAAAGTCATTTGAATATAATCATTTTCTGACAGTACTACTCTATCAAGTTCATGAACAGGCTGCCAGAAATGTTAAACCAGTTCTGCAAGAACAGAATGTAGACAAAAGTTGCTCTCTTCTTGTGGAGTGAGCACAACTTGCAAATTTATCAAGCAATTGGTGTGACTTTGTAAGTCACACCAATATGAAAAACCAATATTGTGAGCAGCTGATTATTTATTATTAAAAAACAATTAGTACAGATCCAAACAGATCCAAAAGCAGCTTTAATGCTTATATCAACATTATATTTTGGTTAAGATGGTGACAGTGATAAGAAGCCTGCTTGGATGATTGTGATTATATGGTGGAGTAGGATTGGAGCTGTTTGGTATTTATTAATGAAGGAGGAGTTTTTAACCTGTCTGACTTGGAAAAGAACCAAAAAGTCGTAGTAGAGATAGTCTGAGTATGTGACCTGATGTTAAAAACAACTTAAGAGCGGTGATACAAATCAAAAAGCTCCACCTTTCTAGTGAATGGGAAAAAATTATTTAAGCTTTGCAAATATTATTAGTTGAAATCCACTGAACATTATCTGCTTTTTAGCATTTAATAATGTTATTAATATTATATTTCTGTTTTCTTTACAGTTTGTGTTCTTTACACACAAGGCATTGGCAACAAGGAGTGGAGAGAGGTCAGTGAGTTTTAAAGTCTCTTTAGAGCAATTTCACTGCATCGTCTTCATATTGGTGTACTTTTGAAAAATGTCCTTCTAAAGCTGTTTTGAGCAAAAATTGAGAGTAAACCTTTTTGATGAAAAAGTGATTACCTGATTTATTACCTGTTTTACATGATTTTAACACTTACAGTAGAATATTAAAATAGTTTTAAATATTAGGCAAAGATAACACATGTAAACACAAAACGTGTTTTTTAGTTATTATGAAAAAATAAATAAATAAGAAACCCACATTGCTGTCGTGAAAAAGTGACTGACAACCCCCCCACCCCACCCCAAAAGAGGGGGACCATGGCAACAAGCAGACCTCCAATAAACCACAGCCAGGAGTAACCTTAGCAGCCCTCTCTCGGCATAGCTGTGTGTGAATTACGATTATTTCTGCAAAATGATAATTTTATTTTGTGTTTATCTGACCTTTAATTATTAAATAAAAAAAAAAGAAATTATTATTATTTAGAGAATATTAATAGCAGGAGGTGAATAGCAGCTCCAGACGAGCTGAGCGTGTGGTGGCGTCACAATTACGCCTCTTTTCCAATCGACCCATATTTAGACTGAGTGCTGGCGTTCTCCCTGCGTTCTTGTCAAGAACAAGACTCCATACTTGCGTTCTTATGAATTGAGAAACTGCCTCTGAGTAGGAGAACTCCTGGGCTAACACTATTGGAAGCGATAGTTCCCTTTGAATCAGTTTACCCTTGATGTAGTCAGTCTGGGTGATTTTTTTAAATTGTGAAAAGCTATTCTGTAAAGATGCCTGGCTCTCCAGGAATTGCTCCTCCTACTCTACTTGAAAGGAAATTAGCTTTTCCTTAAAGAAGTCACTCAGGTGCAACATATTTAGTTATTTAAGTGTCGTTGTTACTCTGTCTAGTTGGGCAAATTCTATTAAACAAGCTTCTTTAAGCAGGTATTTACTTTAGGAAACATACCCTTAAGTCACCTAAAGTGATTTAAAGGAATAAATAGTGAGATTTAATATTTCTTACTTAAATTATTTTTTCCATACCTTTTTTTTATGTATAGTGAGGCTAAAATGTCCACAACATCTGGATTTTACTCATATTTAGACTGAACTGCTGTCAGCAATGTTTTTTGTGAATATTCATGTTTGTAAATGAGGGGGCAATTCCTGCTGCCCCAATCATTTCCAGTTATTCAGGCTTCTTAGTGGCCCATCATCTGCATGCTTTATCATCAGGCAGAGTTAAATGTCAAACGGGGACCTCCCTGACCCTTATTGACTGCATACTTAAGCCGCCGTGCATTTATTACATTACATTCTAAAGCTGTACATAATCTCCTGTAACCAGCGACTCCATGAAAGTGTCTCCAAAAAGAACAGGCTGCAGGTGATAAGATATTTATATGAGTCACCACAAAGAGTGCCTAAAAAAAGCTAAGTTTCTTTTAGCTGAGAAAGCTCTGAAGTGTTGCACAAAGCTAAAATGGCAGTTTATAGATTTTCTAAATGTAGCTGGAAAAATGTTCACCGCCCACAACTTAAGAAACGCAGCGACACAAGTAGAAGTCTGAACCTTGGGCTTTCCTCTGACTGTTTTACAAGGAATCTCTTATATTTCTGCTTTATTCCCAGTTTGGGAGAACAGAGGTGATTGACAACACGCTGAACCCAGACTTTGTGAAGAAATTTATCCTGGACTACTTCTTTGAAGAGCGACAGAATCTCAGATTTGACTTGTGAGTACAACTGCACTTTGTGTTCCCTCTGCTCTGGTGAGCATTAGTTAAACAAGTAGAATACAGTCGATTAGAATAAAAAAAATCCCTTCATTGTCCCACAAAGGGGAAATTGTGGTGGTTACAGCAGCTAAATATTTTAGCAAAAGTGGTCACTTAATGTGCCCCTTAGAAAAGTGTATACAAATAACAGATACAATTAAATAGAGCATTGTACTGTACAGTGTTTTTATAATATAAATACTGTACCTGGAGAATAAAAAATCAATAACAGCTGAAATGTGCTAAAAAATGCCAGCATGTTATTTACCTGACTAAGACAGAAACCGTGCAAAAATAAGCAAGAATGTAGCAACTTATTGAGGTTATTGGGAGCAGTGATGTTATAAAGTCTTCCAGCTGCTGGGAGGACGGATCTGTTATTACGCTTCTTGGTGCATTTAGGGTGCAGCAGTCTGTCACTGAAGGAGCTCTCCGGTTCAGCAACAGCTTCATGCATGGGGTGAGATACTTTATCCAACAGATATGATAATTTAGTAAGGAACCTTTATTTCCCACCTCCTGCACTGAGTCTACAGGGCATCCAATCACAGAGCTGGCCTTCCTGGCCTTGTGGATGTCTTCTTAGGTTCTGTCCAGGTTAGCTTTATTCAGTGCCTTGTAAAAGGCCTCACGGCCCACAATGTTCAATGGAATCTCCAGCTTTTCACGTTTTCTTTGACTTTGAGAATGAACGGAGCCAGTTTGGATGAAAGGGGGTCTGCCATTTTTTAGGTCTGCACTTTGAACTATTCTTCACGAAAAATAGTTTTTTCTAACCCATCTAAACCATTAACCTTGATTAATGTTTTAGACAATATCCTACTGGGGGTATAATCTCTGCTCTATTCTCAAGTTCTTCAGTTTTTCCCTCTCACCTCTGCTAACCTCAGTTCTATCTAGCTTCCTTGGCTCGGATGAAGAAAATACCCCCACAGTATGATACAGCCACTGCCATATTTCACCCTTTGGAACACATTTTTAGCAGCATGCTCTACAACCATTTCCTGTTTTGACCATCAGATAGTCAAACAACTGCCTGAAATACTAATACATCACTCCTGATGCAGCTGCTTTAACCTCCTCCTTCTAAGGAAGTCCTGCCAGCTTCATTAAAATCAAATTATTATATAAGTCTTTATGGAAGTGCATCCAAATTAGACTTTCCTTGTTCTTTCATGATGTTTGACTGATAGTGGTTGGTTATGCTTTGAATTTAAAGAATTTAAAAGTAAAAAAAAAGGAGACCTGGTATTCTTTGTAAGATAAAAAAATTGTGATTCCCATACTCGTAAAATCCGATTTTAACAGCCACTTCAAACACCTGTCTTTATTTTGACTTTTTCAAATTCTCATGCTGAAATTTATTTTGCTTTCCTTTAAAACATTTCCTTAGTTATTAAGATTTGCAGACATCACTGTATGCACGCCTCAAACTGAGGTTTTGAAACCGACTAGTGGTTTTCACTGTTTTCTAGCAGAAGAACCTGATGTGGGTTCGTGATGTCTGCAAAGAAGTAAAGTGGATTTTCAAACTGGTTTCTGCAATGGAAAGGCCTCCATATAATCACACCTCCACTACTAAAACTGCACAGTTTGGTAGATGATTTTGTCAATCAGCTGCGTTTGATTTTTTCCAAACATGAAGAAGTATTTTAGTTCACTGATATGCATCTTTGCAAGAGATGCTCTGATTCAAGTGTTCAAAGGCTGGATAACCCTTCCTGATAAGATTGGACACTGTCTTATATTCCTTATGAGAATAACCTCAATTAACGTAATTAAAGTCTTATACTGCATCTCATATTGCTGGACTGCAACAAATGATTCTTTAGGGTAATTTCTGATGTCTTTCCATCTTGATATTGTTCTTACGTACAATGGTAACGTAATGAGGGATGGGCTTTTTTTTTGGTGATACATCATTGTACAGATGTCTATAGTGTACATCTGACAGGTGCATTTGAAATTAGTTTACTCTTTATTGCCATCTTCAGTGTCTCTAGGTGATGCTGTTCTCATTAATTAAAAGCAAATTTTAGCCGCTGCTTTAAAGTGAAAGATTAATTAGATTATTTGTGTCCCAGAGAGGAACAGCAGCAGTTTAACCATGATTTGAACATTTAATCGCTACTGAGAGGAGCTTAACGGGAAATATGGCAGTGAAAAAAGCACCTTGTTTGGGTGGAATTTTGTCACAGGTCCAAGTATGATAAGCATCTTTGTTGTGCATAGCTGGAATGCTGGGTTCATGCCTGCATCCTGCCAAGCTTCCAGTTTACGGGCATATATTCAATCATTACACCTAATTTATAGGTAAAACCGTCTTTATATTACACAGTTTACAGCCCTGCAGCATGCATGCAGAGCCAGGCTTTGATATTTTGGCTCTGTCACGCTCTCAGCGCGCGCATGTTGCAGGAGATGTGTCACTCGGTCACATGGTGGACAGACCCGCTCCAAGACGAAACTAAAAGTGATGTGTGCCTCTTGAGCGTGCTCTCCCACATGCAGTGCGACCAAAGCAACAGTGTGGGTTATTTGCATGCTGGTGTGAGCGGCGTAGCAGGTAGCCATAACAACCGGTGGTTTTGGGGGATGGGGTGGAGGTATAGGAAAAGACAGTCGGTCTATTTAGTGTCAGACATACAGGAAGCATAATCCGTTACTTGTTGTATTGTTGTGCAATAAAAAATTATGGCATACAGCTTTTCCACACATATTTAAGTGGTAGTCTCTTTACTCTCTGTAGAACAGGATTAAAATTTTAAAAAATTTCTTGTTGCAAAAAAAAAAATTATCTACCAGTAGTTTTACCCTTACAGTTTCCAAATGTAAATTTCAGCACTGACCAAGATCATTCTTTTTCCTCATTTTTACTTAAGGCACCTTTATGGGCTGTTGGACCTATTACTCAGAACAGAAATAGTCCTGGACAGAAATAATTAAAGAGGTATGGGAGAAAAAGGGGACAGTCTAACCTGCAGCCCGATGTTTTAACCACGGGCACGCTATTTCTGAGAAACACAGAGTAAGGTAATTAACGCAGCAATGCCTCCTCATGGCACTATTCCACAATTTCTTGGCTTCTTCCTCCCAGCATTGATCGACATGCCATCGTATCTTAAACAGGTCCACATCTTGCCCCATTTTAAACTCGAATATATAGTTTTTATTTGTATTGTTTTGTCTTTTTACTGCCTTTGCTCTGGCTTTTGGATCTCCTAGCTGGTTACAGCAGATCATTTTTGATCAAAGCACTACTTCTTCTAGTGTAAAACAAATTGTTGCTTTCCATTGTCACTAGTGAATCCTCAGGATGAACAGCTGAGGTTCATGTTATTGGAATATCTCTGTAATATATTGATCCAATTACATGCTGTTTAAGTTTTCTAGATGATAAATGAATTCATACAGTTGAAATAAATGAAGCCCAACTTGTTGGCCCTTGTGATTTTGTATGAAAGAGCAAATATACCGTATTTTCACGACCACAAAGCGCACCGTACTAAAAGGCGCAGTCACAGTTATGTGTGCCATTACTGTATTTAACACACACATAAGGCGCACCGGATTATAGGGCGCGGGTTTTATATACCGGTACATATCCTCTACTACATTTAAATACCTCTACTGCGTATTTAAAAATACAGCGGGAGCAAAACTGAGTATGATTGTGCTTTATTCATGTATTTATTACAAAGTATTAATCAAACCCTTTGAAGTTGTCATTCTCTGTTTCTGAATTAAACAGCTGCGCTAAATCAGACATGCCAATTTCCCCTTCTTCGCTGTCAGAGTCACTATCCGTGCCGGGCGGCTCCTCAGAAATAATGCCGGCTTTTGCGAAAGCTCGAACAACAGAGCCAGGAGACACGTTAGTCCAAGCATCTACAATCCATCCGCAAACTGTGGCGTAACTTGCCCGGCGCTGCCTTCCACTTTTCGTGAAACTGTGGTCTCCGTTGGTCATCCATCACTCCCACGCCGCTCGCAGCCTTACTTTGAACGGCCGGTTCACACCGATGTCGAGCGGTTGAAGTTCCTTCCGGAATAACAGCAAGCACAGCGTTCATTTGTTTCACCTTGTTTTTCACATCGGCTGTGAGATGGGCACGCATGGAGCCACAGATTAACAGCGATGGTGATGCGTGGAAAAAACCACCTGGTCTCCTCACATACACCTGCCTCAGCCACTCTTTCATCATCTCCTCATCCATCCAGCCCTTTTCATTTGCCTTAATAACGACTCCAGCTGGAAAAGTCTCTTTAGGCAAAGTCTTTCTCTTAAAAATTACCATAGGCTGCAGTTTCTGTCCATTTGCGTGGCAGCCAATCCACGCCCACACTTCCCGCTTTAACGTTCTCATGGCGGTCTCAACCACGTCCACAGTAACAACACATATAGGGTGCACCGCACTATAGGGCACACCACACATTTTGAGGAATAAAAAAGACGTTTATGTGCGCCTTATAGTCGCGAAAATACGGTACATGCTTTATATTTAAACATTTGAACAGAATGTGACAGCGGAGCGAAAAAACTCCCTTTTAACAGGAAAGTAGCTTGAGTCCTCTTAACAGAACATAACATGGCAAAATTGTTGGCAGATAGGGTGGTTTACTGCCCAATTGAGCAGTTTTCATTTTAAAATTGCTTTGCGGGGTTGGAGATAATGTGGGCTGGTTCGGAGTCAGATCTATGGTTTTTGAGTATAACTATTAAAACACATAAATTATTGCATGTTTTCCGACGACAGTGTGTAACTTCACTTGCACCGCTTCTCCTGTTAATATGGTAAAGCCCTCCGGAGCGTCCACCACCAGGCTACACGTGATACAAATTAGCCAATGAGCTATCAGTCATGCTGCAAGCCACTATAGAGACAGCAGGCAGCCCTTTGGCAAGCCGGGCTATGGGAAAGAAGGAGAAGACAATGAGAAAAAAAGAGCAGAGAAAG